GCGACACTGGTGACACTGGTGACACTGGTGACACTGGTGACACTGGTGACACTGGCGACACTGGTAACACTGGTACACTGGTGAAACTGGTGACACTGGTGCACTGGTAACACTGGTGAAACTGGCAACACTGGTGAAACTGGTGGCACTGGTGAAACTGATGACACTGGTACACTGGTGAAACTGGTGACACTGGCGACACTGTTGACACTAGTGAAACTGGTAAACTGGTGACACTACTGGTACACTGGTGACACTGGTGAAACTGGTGACACTGGTGAAACTGGTGACGCTGGTGAAACTGGTGACACTGGTGATACTGGCGACACTGGTGAAACTGGTGACACAGGTACACTGGTGACACTGGTGAAACTGGCGACACTGGTGACACTGGTGAAACTGGTAAACTGGTGGTACAATGGTGAAACTGGCTACACTGGCGACACTGGTGACACTAGTGAAACTGGTAAATTGGTGACACTACTGGTACACTGGTGAAACTGGTGACACTGGTACACTGGTGACACTGGTGACACTGGCGACACTGGTGACAGTAGTGAAACTGGTAAACTGGTGACACTGGTACACTGGTAAAACTTGCTACACTGGTGAAACTGGTGACACTGGCGACCCTGGTATTCTGGCTACACTGGTGACACTGGTGAAACTGGTGCCACTGGTACACTGGTAAAACTGGCGACACTGGTGACACTGGTGAAACTGGTGACACTGGTGACTCTGGTGAAACTGGTGACACTGGTGAAATTGGTGACACTGGTGATAATGGCGACACTGGTGATATTGGTGACACTGGTACACTGGTGACACTGGTGAAACTGGCGACACTGGTGATACTGGTGACACTGGTGAAACTGGTGACACTGGTACACTGGTGACACTGGTGAAACTGGTGACACTGGCGAAACTGGTGACACTGGTACACTGGTGAAACTGGCTACACTGATGAAACTGGTGACACAGGTACACTGGTGACACTGGCGACACTGGCGACACGGATGACACTGGCGACACTGGTGACACTGGCTACACTGGTGAAATTGGAGACACTGGTACACTGGTGACACTGACGACACTGGCGACATTGGCGACACTGGTGACACTGGTACACTGGTGATACTGGTGAAACTGGCGACACTGGTGACACTGGTGATACTGGTGACACTGGTGACACCGGCGGCACTGTCGACACTGGTGACACCGGTGAGACTGGCTACACTGGTTAAACTGGTGACACTGGTGATACTGGTACACTGGGGAAACTATTGACACTGGTGAAACTGGTGACACTGGTGACACTGGTACACTGGGGAAACTGGTGGCACTGGTACACTGGTGAAACTGGCGACACTGGTGATACTGGCGACACTGGTGACACTGGTACACTGGTGACACTTGTGAAACTGGTGACAC